TAAAGATGGATGCAAATAGGTGATCTATCTAAAAATAATTGAAACTAATGATCCAAATGTTTTCTTAATAATATTATTATTTTTAATTTTTAATTTTTTTATTTTCATATTCATGATTTCCATGTTAGAGATTGCATGTCCTTAAAAATTAAGTCAAAAAATCCATCTAAAAAATAGATCTTTAAGAGGTGACTTGTTTCTACATGGACTAATAAAAATCATGTCCTGATTTTTTTTTAATGATAATATAACTAAGGTTACTTCGTATGCCCAAAAACCTCTAATGCAGTTCAAAAATTCTTAGGTCACATTGTTCGTGTGAAATTGTTTCCTAGAAAATATTTTTACATAAAAAAATTCTTTCATGTGGTCAAGTGTGGGAATATTTTCATACCAATGAGTATTAATGCATATTTTTACATCAATTGGCAACTAATTGATGTAAAAATATTCTCATACTTGACAGCATGAGATAATTTTTTCATGTATAGAAAACATTTTTACGCGAACCAAACATGTCATTGTTGTACCTACATTAGGTGAACTATTTAACATTGTACTCATATTGTTTGATTTAATTTCAAACTAGCTATAAAAAAAATACATGATGATGAGTTGGAATAGTACCAAATGGTATTTAAAAAAATTGGATTGATGACATAGATCGCCTATCCAAAAAATTGATATGGATCGGTGAATCAGCAATTCGAATGTACAATCTAGCTGAGGGAATGAGCCAATAAAACAAATTTAAAAATTAGAGAACAAACAAAAAAAATTGAACTAATACAAAAAAAAGAGGAAAAAGGTGGAGCCAGATCGACCAATTCCCTAATAGAACTTGTTCTTCTTAACAGAATTGACCAATTCCAAATATATGGTGAGCACTAGACCGGTCCCACCAATTGCCGATTCTGAGCCAGATCGACATTTTTTAATATCATGGTACCAAAAGTATAAAATGATAAGTAATGCACCTCTCATGGGTATTTTGTTAAATTTTCCATGCGAGCACTTCTTGAAGTATAAATGAAGAGCTAACACTTGCTAAGGCAAAAGCAGACATTCATCTTACTCCCTCGGCAAATGACTTCCTGGGGAAGACTTTCTTGACATGAAGTTAAACTACCACCGTTTTAAAATCCATTGATTTTTAATACGGATAGCCTACCTCATTGGGAATCCATCGGGAAGAAGTTGGTTCTTGGATGGTATGATTCTTGGCTCGGTTCCTTAAAAAACTTTTTTTATATATTTTTTTTATTTTTTTCTTCCGTTAAACTTATCTATTGTTTTTTAAGTACCCTCTAAATCCCCACCCCATAAACTCCAAATTTAATCTTTATTTAATCTTGGAAAAAGTTTATATAAGGATGCAACCTTATAATGTAGAACTACGAATGCATCTCAAAAATCCATCAAAAAATGTAGTTTTAATGTTGAAAAACCCTTTGATTGATCATATTGACACCGAGATGTATGACCATGAAAAATAAAAAGATTTTAAGTCTAAAAAATAGTGAATTTTACAACATATTATCTATACCGTCCATTTTCAAAGATTTTCATATGTTTATAGATCTACTTGATTTTAACCATTTTTTAGTTTTAAAATTTTATAATTAGATATAAAAATAGATTTTGATATATTCCTAATAACATTTTATATCAAAATTATATACCATGATAAAATTTGAATGTGCACTTTACCTCTACAGCTACGGATGCATTAGTATGCCAACTGCACCCTTTAATTTTATTTATTTTCTAATATTTTTCAGATCATTGATTCAAACCGATCTTGATCGTCGATCTAACGATACGCCATGGATCTATGGGTGAACGATCCGCCCGACCAATACTTGCTATTTACAAAAAAAGAAGAGAGAAAAACATTTTCTCAATAACCAAACACCTAGATTTGATTATCAAAAATTGGATGGCCTGCGTGAGAAACCTTGGGGCTTAGTGTTTTTTCATGCAGGACCATGATATGTATACAAGAATCCTCTCTTTCAAGGTTGGTCGCATGGTCGATTTGATCACATCAGCAAAATTTTGGGGTCCAAGAAATTCTCCTAGTGGGTGGATCTAATCTTTTCAAATAAGTGAATAGGGTGCAGTTTGTATAGAGCCTAGGCTCTAAACAATAAAAGAGCCTACTTTTAAATAGTATTGATGTGGTTTCAATGCTGGAAATCTTTTTGATAGTTTTAAAATATATAGGATCATTTATTTTAGAATATATTTTAATCTTTATTTATAAAGTTTAAAGCTTTAAAAATAGTATAGATTGAGAGATCTATGGAAACTTGAAAATCTTGAAAATTGATAGCCCAAAAATGCATTATAAAATAAACTATTTGTAAAAGTTGAAATCTATTTTTTTCTCATGTCCATGCATCTTGATGCCGAAATGATCAGTTTGAGAATATTTGGGCATCAAAATAACATCTTCTAGTGAATTTTTTGAAGTAGGCTCGAATTTGATTGTTTAGAGCCTCGCTCTATATAAACTTTTCCCTAATGAATAAGTGTCTGCCTATTAGTTATATGTGTCGGACCTTATTCTACATTTGTGTCCCCTTAGGCATAAACCATCTATCAAAATGGTCTTTCTAAAAAAAAAAAAAGCAATTCTCTAAATATTTCACTAAATTTTTTATCAATTTATTTTTACATATTAATGATCTCAGTGTTAGATATTATATATTCTTTTGAAATTAAGGGCAAAATCTCTTTAGAAATTAATGGAAAAATTCATTTAAAAATAGATTATTAAAAAAGGCGCATTTCTACATATGAATCCGGGAACTCATAGAAACATGTCCCTAATTAGATTACCAGTCATATAAACGAGAGATATCCGCAGTTGTCATCGAAGTTTGTGAAAGAAAACTGTACTTTGATAAATAACACATCAATCTCTGTCCCCATCGTGATGTTGGTTAGGGGTGGATTGATTGCAAACTTCTCTTTCCTAGATGGACAAGTTAATTGTTGGAAAGTTTTCCTACTCAAATTATTTTAAGAAAAAGGGTACAATGAGAACATTTGTCCTTCGGGATTGTGTGCAATGAGATCATTTATCTCGTCCGTAAGGTAGCCACAATTATGTAAGGTAGCCACAATTATGTGCAATGAGATCATTTATCTCGTCCGTAAGGTAGCCACAATTATGTACAACTATTTGATGTGCAATATGCGTGTCACAAAGTTTAATTATGGATATGTCATAAAGTTTGAGATTTTTTTTTTTAAGTTTGAATTTTGTCAACCGAACAAATTTAATCATTTAATTTCACATCTAATGATCAAGACTAATTGTGACGCCATGTATCAAAGATAAATGATTGTCTACAAAGAAACTATTTATATTTTGTATGTGAAAGTCACAATCATCCTCCCTCATTAAATGTCAAATTAGATGGCTCAAGGTGAGTCATAAAGTCTAATTATTATTTTGTTGGAACTTTCTATTAAATAACACTCTTACAACCACCCATTTTGGAAATTAAGGGACAAGAATGATTGTAACCTCTATGTACAAAAGATAGATGATTCCTTTGTAGACAATTCTATAATTTGTTTTTCAAAATAACTTCAACAATTAAATCTATTTTAGAAATTAGAAAAAAATCATAGAGATATCTTGGATTCTTGAAAAAGAATAATATAAATATGTACTATTGTGGGAAAGGGTGTGGTTTGCATAAGGTTGCAACCTTGAACAATCAAAAGAAACGATGCAATTTTAGTTTTCAAAATACTTAGAATGCTGCAAAACTTTAAAAATGATTCAAATCAAGCATATATATGAATATGTGAAAATCTTGAAAATGGACAGTCTAGATAACGTGTTGCAAGATCTATTATTTTTGGGGCTTGAAATTTTTTGTTTCTTCGTGTCTATACATCTCGATGCTGAAATGATCAATTAGATGTTTTTCAAACATCAAAATAGCCTTTTCCAAATTATTTTTGAGGTGCACTATAATTCTATACTTTTAAAGCGTCAACCTTATATAAACTTTTTCCTTTCGGAAATAGGCAAGACTAACATAACCATTAAATATTGTAAGATCTAAATTTTTCGTACAGAGCGCATCCATCAAGCTCCCTTGAGAGCATACTATACAATAATTCGAGAAAAATAAATTCTTTTTTAGAAGAACTCCGACAAAATAATTTGTTGGAAGGATTTTTTAGATCCAAAATTTTGGAATCCATCTAAATAGAACTAAATAAATATTTTCAAGAAAGAAATCTCGATTTTAAGTTTTTGAACATCTAGATATTTGCCTTCTAAAATTAAACCATTCATGTTCAATATTGAGATGTAATTTTCTTAGGCACGTGGAAAGTACAAGTTTATTTTTTTATCTGTTTTGACTTTGGCCATTGGTTTCTAGATATCACATCTCCAATTTTGAGATTAAAAAAAAAATACCCCTGACTTTAGTTTTGCTCCTAAATGGACGGTTGCTCCCATTGGAGCATGAAATCTTCACTTTTGCATATATCATTCTTTAGATACAATATGGGAAATAAAGTAAAGATAGTCTAATAAATTGTTTTGTTTGATCCTAACTTTGGGTAATACTAAAGTTTTTCGTAAATTTTACTAGTTTTGGTATACTTCTCCTAATGAAGAACATGAAAACTTTCCACTCAACAAAATTAATTCCAAAAGTACTCTAAAATTCCTTTGATCTTATTTTTGGAAAATCATAATCGCATATCGAGAAAAATCCTGAAATCTTTGCCAAAAAGCCAAAAGCCAACCAGTAAGGGTACAATCGGCATTAAGAAGTGGAAAAGAGTAAAGGCGTTATTATTCGGAATCGTGAGGGCAAATTAACAAGGGCTTAACCCCACAAGACGGCAGAGCGAAGGAAAAGGCATGGGTAGGGTTCTGACCCGAAGGAAGAGGTTCGTAATATGGACCATGGCTTAGGAGCTAGGCTCGGAAGTGCTTTTGAGTGCAATATAGAGAGAGCGACCAGGGAAAGAGATCTTCAGCGATGGCGTAACCAAAAAACGCAGAGAAAATATACACAAAAACGCTTTTTCTTTTTTTGGGGACTTTTTCTTTTTGGAAACCCTAATTTCCCCTTTTCCTATGAAAATATTCTCTTCTCTGAAAACCAGGGAATATGTATTAGTGAATTTTGGGAGAAAAGGAAGTCTCCATTAATCTAGAGTCCAATTTGTTCAGGGAATTCGAGTTTTCTTCTCATTTATGGGATTAAATTTCACTACAGATCGAGAATTCTTTTGGGTTTCCTTAATTTTGAATGTTTTGATCTGATCAATGGAGGTCTAGAGGTGATTCAGTCGTTTTGGTTTTGGCTTCAGCCATTCTCGATTGCGAAGAAGGCAATGGCGCAAGAGGGTTTGAGTTCGATGGAAATGGCTTTGGATTCAAACCCATTTATGGTCTCCTGCACTTCTGTAATGGAGGATGTGATTCAGCAGACCAGGTTGAGTGATGTTAACTTGGCGTCGAGAAAAGCAGAGGAAGCAGGTGCTCTCTCACCCACTTTCTCTATCCATCTATTGGCTCGTTTTTTCTCTTTCGGAGAGAGAATGCTCCATTGCTATAATATGTTCAATATGGTTGGTTTAACACTCTCGGAGGATTTCATGAATATTTTCTGTTTTTTGCTTCTGTTTTATTTTTTTTATTATTGTTGTTTAACTTGAAGATAATGGATTTTCTTTATCATCATCACATTCTTCTTCATTTTTCTCGCTTCTGCCTCTCTATCTCTCTGTTCCCTTGTTGCTTCTGTGGAGAAATTTGGAATGCAGGTCATTGCAGGTTCGAACTTGCGGTTTCTGTGTTTTTTTTCGCTTTCTACTAAATTGCTATTTTTAGATAAGGCGTTTTGTCTGGTTTCCTTTTGTTGTGAGTCGTTCCCTTGTGTTTTTGAAGTGGAAAGTGCAGAACAAGTGAAATTAGGCAACTCTTACTGTTCTTCTCTCGTTCTATAAGGCAACTCTCTATCCCTCTCTCTCTCTCTCTGAATGAGGCAAGTGTTTTTTGTCTATTTGGTATCTCTCTCCTCTCTCTCTCTCTCTCTCTCCTTCCCCCGTTTTTTTCTCTCTACGGAACCCTCTGGTTTTTGCACTTTTTTTTCGTTATTTCCAATGCAGCATCTTTTTTAAGCTGTTAATTTTTTTAAAAAGTTATTTTACCATCATATTATTTTCATGTTTTTTTTCTATGTAAACGTGCATAACGAGTTCAGAGATTTTTTTTTTGGGGGTGGATAAGATGTTTGTTTTTTCTTACGTTAAACTTAATTGCAAAGAAAATCTTGTTACCGTTTTCCTATTTTCCTGAATCATCTTCCTGAAATTCTTGTTACCACATTTCTTTTATAGGAAATTCTGAATTTTCTTTCTCGTTTCTCCATTTTTTGTGATCTGTTTTCTTTAATTTCTTGTGGGAACAGAGAGGAACTGTGAAGGCCCATTTATTTTTTTCAGTTCCATTGGAAAAATTTCTCAACTCATCTAAAAATTTCTTTTTTGAAAATTTTTGCTTTCAAGCACCTGCCTTTTCCTCTCATGTTTGCCTCAGATCCCACAAGGTGATTTTTCTCGAATTTTTACTTTTGACCAGTTATTCACACCAAGTAAGCCATATAGGTTTGAAAATCCACCTTCACCCTTTCATTATATTCAAATTAAGAGTGTTTGTTGCAGCTTCGAGAAGGTATGAAGCAGCAGGTTGGCTTAAGAAGATTGTGGGAGTTGTTGGATCGAGGGATTTGCCCAATGATCCCTCTGAGGAAGAGTTTTTACATGGATTACGAAATGGGTTAATCCTCTGCAATGCCATCAACAAAGTCCAACCTGGTGCAGTTCCTAAGGTTTACTGCATGCCTTTTCCTCTCTTTTTAATTTAAATAAACTTATCTTCTTTGTTCCGTCATTTGGTTAGTCTACAATCATGAAATAAGATAAACTTCTTAACAGTTGGAAAATCAACAATTTCCTTAATTGATCAGGTAGTTGAAAATCCAACTGCTGCAGTTCCTCCTCCAGATGGGGCGGCTCTTTTGGCATATCAATACTTCGAAAATGTGAGGAATTTCCTTGTAGCAGTGCAGGAGATGAGGCTTCCTACATTCGAAGCATCTGATTTGGAAATGGTGATACTCTTTATTATATTGAGTATTATAGGAGAACTAAGGAACTATAAGGAAACTATACCTTCTGCTAGTGGTGAATCATATATATGGCACTGAGTTTCATCCAACTTCAGTTCCTGGTGGTGGAAGCTAGAGATTATCTGCACCAAGTTAATGTCTGAACTATGATCGATCTCCACCCTCCGTTATTGGTACCAGGTGTTGGGTGTAGTGGTGTACATACTTGAATGGTTACGCTACACTTTCCCATTTGGTCACTCAGTTTTAGTGCCCCTTCTTTCTCTAGGATCACTGGTATAACTGAACTATCTTCCATGGGTAACCAATCATACAAAAACAATTTTTTAAAATTGCTTTGTTTTTTGCACCGCTTTTATGTTTCGGCCAGTGATTTTAAAACCGGTGACTCAGGCTTAGATAGTGAGTCACTTCAACCCAGCAGGATGCTGTGCTGGGTTGGGATGGAAAACACCAAAACTCTGGCAAGTCTTGACAAGTCCTTGTCTGCTGGGTCCAGATAGAAAACACCAAAACTCAGGCGAGTCTTAAAAATTCCTGGTCCCCCTGCATTTTTACCCTTGGACTCGGCTAAGTTGGACATCCAATATGGCCAAGTTGTGGTTGGCTTTTGTTCAAGACCCTAGCAAATCGAGCCCTAGTCCTTCATTTCGAACTGTGGTTTCAGTTGATCTAATTGTTAAGCTTTCCTCATCTCTCTGTTTTCTTTCAACTGGGAAAATTTTGCTGTTTGTTTTGTTAATGCAAACGATGTTTTATTGAGGTATTTTATTGATGAATGTTTCAGGGAGGGAACTGTGCGAAGGTTGTGAACTGTGTCTTGGGTCTTAAATCCTACAGTGATTGGAAGCAAACTGGCGGGAATGGGATGTGGAGATATGGAGCTAATTCTAAGCCACCGACCAACTCAGGAAAATGTGTTGTAAACGTAAAGCCTTCCAAAAATTCTGATCCCTTCATGAATTCATTGTCAAAGAACTTGTACCAAACTGATCCAAGTGGTCCACAGCAAATGGATGACAAAGGCCAAAATGGTTTCTCATTATCACGACAGAATTCAAGTGCGAATCTTTCTTTAGATTCTACTGAAGTGGTATGGGTCGTTATTCTTAGATCCTTAATTTTCAATCATATAATTTTCATGTATGTGTTAATTCACAACACACGCAAACAAAACTACCCACTTTCACAAGGATTATATGATTGAATGCTACAAATCTCATTTTTCAGACTCCTGGTTCTCATTCTTTAAATACGCTGGTTCGCGCTGCTCTCTCAGATAGGAAGCCCGAGGAGGTTCCCTGTGTAAGTTGACCTTTTGCCAATAATGATTATCAAAAGAATTCTGCTAGATGCAATTATGCAATTTATTTGTGGGCTTTGCGTGAATGCACCTTTGTTTGATTAAAATGATGCATTTTCTTATGCCATCTTATGTTTGTTTTTAGCTTGTGGAATCCATGCTTAGCAAAGTCATGGAAGAGTTTGAGCGCCGTCTTGCAACCCAAAGCGACCAGGTGAGATAATTTTTTAACCAGTAGTTCACTTTGTAAACATTAGGGGAATCAGTCAATGGCCTTATATTGGCTTTGCATTTGCTATGGAACTTAACAAAAATGTGTTCTCTTATTCTCTATGATCATTACTCTTTGAAAATATGTGGCGCTTTCATTTCTTATTATATATAAAAGTAGTTCTTATTTGCTGCTTCTCATTTTTATGTACATAGGTGTGATTTTATACCCGTAAGTGTAATTTTGGGGAATTTGTTGTTTTTGCAACAGCTCAAAACAGTTCTTAAGGACTTGGTTGCATCTGGTGACAAGAAGTCCCTTCCCAAAGCTAAGGTCTTGGCTGCTCTTGCCGCCGCTTCCAGAGATTTGAATGTATGTTTAGTCTTACTGAATGACTATCTTTTTTTATTTTTCTCCTACTGTCCAACTTTATGACAACAGGCATATACATCACTTGCCAAATGCAAAGATTTAAGCAGACGAAAGTATATGCTTGAGATTTCCCGATAACTTTATTATCTTTTGTAAATTATTGTAATAGATGGAAATCAATGAAGAAGATGGCACATGCCTCTATGTTTCTTCAACCCCACCAGCCTATAAAGAGGAAATGGATCATCGGGCTCTAAGACAAAAAACACTCTTTGATCAACAACAAAGAGAAATCAAGGTATATATTTCATAATTTTGCTCTGATTTTATTCTCTAGAGGAAATTTTTAGACAAAACGGAGGCTGAGCACCCCTTATACTATACAAATGTTGCAGGAACTGAAACACATTCTTCAAACCACTAAAGCTGGGATCCATTTTATGCAAATGAAATACTCTGAAGATTTCTATATTCTTGGTATGTTCCCAAATAATCTTGTGTCCTCGTTATTAAAAATGTGCCCATCTTGCTGCTTTGTTCCCTTCATGATGTTTCCTATTTGTTATTATGGAACAGAGAGGCATCTCTGTGGTCTTTCCCGAGCTGCATCAGGCTATAATAAAGTCCTTGAGGAAAATCGGCATCTGTATAATCAAGTCCAGGATCTTAAAGGTCAGTCACTGAACGTACTGGGAATCCTAGTAATAGTTTTGATATGGTGACTGGGCATTTATACATATTTGGTTGCACTATTTTTGTAGGAAGTATTCGGGTTTATTGCAGAGTGAGGCCCTTCTTGCCTGGTCAAGCAAGCCGCTCAAGCACTGTGGATTACATTGGTGATGGAAATCTCACAATCTTGAACCCTTTGAAACAGGGGAAGGATGCCCGTAGATCATTTAACTTCAACAAAGTGTTTGGTCCATCTACAACTCAAGGTTGGTGATGGTTTCTTTTATGTGTTTGTTTTTGTACTTTTTTCTGTGGACGTGACATTGAGAACCCATTAGTTTTATCTCTATTGATAATCCTTGAGAAAAGTCCCAGAAAAACTAGATTTCAGTCTTCCCAGTTTTAGACAATTATCTAATTTTAATCTTTAAATAATTATTTTTTGAAATATTTTGTGGGGTTTTGACTGTGTCTATATTATGATAGCGGAGGTGTTTGCGGATACGCAACCTTTGATTCGGTCTGTTTTGGATGGGTACAATGTTTGTATATTTGCATATGGGCAAACTGGTTCAGGGAAAACCTACACTATGGTATGCCATTCGTTTCTTTAATCCTGCAATGAGCAATCTTATTGAACCATGATGACCAGTGCTGATCTCTTTTTACCCTTCCTCTTTAGAATGGTCCTAAAGAGATCACAGAACAAAGCCGAGGGGTCAACTACAGGGCATTAAGTGACTTATTTTGCATCTCAGAACAAAGAAGAGACACTTTTAGCTATGAAGTTTCTGTTCAGATGATTGAAATTTACAATGAACAAGTTAGAGATCTCCTTGCTGCAGATGGTCTCAACAGGCGATATCCTTTCCGAACCTTTCTTGTTTTTCCAATGTTCTTCCCTTCTGAGTGAAGTCCAGTTTAAGTTTAGTCTAGACTTTTCTTCACATTATTTTCTTGACTTGGAAATACATTAGAAATTCGTAATAACTCTCAGCAAAAGGGTCTTAATGTTCCTGAAGCAAATCTGGTACTTGTTACATCAACATCTGAGGTGGTTGAACTGATGAACATAGGGCATAGAAATCGGGCTGTCGGAGCAACTGCCTTGAATGACCGTAGTAGTCGATCTCACAGGTCTGAATATCTAGAGCTCTCTCGCTCTTTCTCCCCCTCTCTCTCTCTCTATTATGGTTCTTATAGTTAAGAAGTTCCTTCTTGTTGGTTAAATATTGTTGGAATTGTTTGCAGTTGCCTGACCGTGCATGTTCAAGGGAGAGACATGACATCGGGCGCTGTTCTAAGGGGATGTTTGCATTTAGTTGACCTTGCCGGAAGTGAGAGGGTCGACAAATCTGAGGCTACGGGAGAGAGACTAAAAGAGGCCCAACATATAAACAAGTCTTTGTCAGCTCTTGGCGATGTAATTGCCTCTCTTGCACAGAAAAATGCCCATGTTCCTTACAGGAACAGCAAACTCACCCAATTGCTCCAGGACTCACTTGGTATGTAGAAAGAAACATCTCGCATAAATTTCTTCCTTTGTTGATCTATGGTAATGTAGCATATTTTTAAATATTCATTATCAATTTTATTAACTATCAAGAGAATTGAGGAATGGTCTCAAATAGGTGGCTAGGGTGGAGGGATGCCCCAATTTAATGACTTGAATTCCATTCCTACCAGATCCCAAGTAAACAATCAAAAACAACAGAATATATCAAAAGAGTTTCTCGATTTTTGTTTTCAGGGGGTCAGGCAAAGACCTTGATGTTTGTTCACATAAGTCCTGATGTTGAAGCATTTGGAGAAACTACTAGTACACTCAAATTTGCAGAAAGGGTTGCCAGTGTTGAGCTAGGTGCTGCACGTGTAAACAAGGAGAGTGTTGATGTTAGAGAGCTCAAAGAACAGGTTTCTTTTCTTCTCAGTTCCCTATATTTTCCTATTTCCCTTATAAATCAAATGATTTTTCTTTACTCTTTTGCTTTGTTTTGGAACTTCAAGGCTTTTAAATACTGTGTGATTGGCGAAATGATTTTAGGTTGCTAGCCTTAAGGCAGCATTGACAAAGAAGGAAGGAGAACAGGAGCAGGTAAGAAGTGCAAGATTGAGTCCTGAGAGACAAAGGATAAAGGGTAGTGGGCCATCGCCAATGCATTCAAGTCGACAAAATGGAGATGTGCAAGGAGTGGTCAGTAACCACAGGCTGCCCATGGAAGAAGTGGGAAACATAGAGGTAACTATTTCTTGCTCCAGTCCATGAGCAGTTGCGTCAGAAATCAGTGGAAGATTGAAAAAACATTTACCGAGTTTATATGCTTGTATAACCACTATACAAACACATGTGCATTTATGTTTTGTGGGTGTGCATATGTGTGCCCATTTTGTGCAATTCCTTTAGAAGCATTTCTACATTTTGGAAAAGCACCGATGTTTATTTTCCCATGTCCACATAGGCCAGAGAGAGAGAGAGAGAGAGAGAGAGAGAGAGAGAGAGAGAGAGAGAGAGAGAGAGAGAGAGAGAGAGAGAGAGAGAGAGAGAGAGAGAGAGAGAGAGAGACGTACGTACGTACGTACGTACGTACGTACGTACGTACGTACGTACGTACGTAACGTAACGTACGTTAACGTAACGTAACGTTAACGTAACGT